TGTCATAAAACAACATGTGTACTACTTTTTCATGAGAAACTATTTGTTCTGTAAGCCTTCACCTGAAGTACAATAAAATATTTAAAAAATAATAATAAAGAACAATAAAAAAAAAATTATTTTGGGCATACTCACTCTTTAGATTCCTGAGTTCTTTTAGTAACATGCTGTACAACTGTGTCATAGCCAGAATCTTCACTCTGATTCTGATCAGATATGCATTTTTCCATTTCTTCTTCAATCATAGACCCCAAAGTGTTGCATACGTATTGTCTAAGGTATTTCACAAATTCATAGCTGAAACAAATATTTAAAAATAATTGCAGTCAATATGATAAATTCACTTATTAACCAGATCCACAAAAAAAAGTTAGCACAGAAAGGTCTGTGATATATTCAGATTTCTTACCTTAAACTAGGATTAAATTGATCATCACAAATCATCAAACAAAACTGGATTTTTGTTTTGTTTTTATCTGGAACATTTAAAAAAGATCATCCTTTAAAGATAACCCCACTGGGGGTAGGGGGTGGTATAAAGGTTCAGGACCAACCAGTTTTTAGTGGGTTGGAAGTCTTTTCACATTCCTTTTGTATGTATGTCCCTATCTTTAATGTACAATACTTAAGGGTAGGGAAAGTAGCTGTTAAAGACTTTCATAATTATTCAAGCTTATGAGGAAAACCAGACTAGAATAACAGTAATTATGAAAGAATAAATAGGAAAAGATTAAACTCCGATCATCAGAAGACTTTTTGTACACAGAAGTGGTAATTCTGACCTAAATTCCACCTAATCCGCTTTGGCCTGATTATATCTAAAGACAGAAGTGTCTCAGACGATTAGACACAGTGGACGTTTTTCTTCAAACTGTTGTTTGATGGTAACACTAAAATTAATTTTTCAAACCAAGATAATATAGCAAACATGAGAAGGCAAAAGTTCTGTAAAGTGGATAACTGATATAAACACTTACTGAAAATAAAGAGCAATAATTATAATTTATATCATGAGTTATAAAGGTTAAACTTTTTGTGGTCTCCCTAATGACAAAGATAAATCAGGAGGGGCTACTTTTATAACTCACTTCTAGTCAAATACATCACTGTATAAGAGCCTCATAAGTATACATTACAGGAGATACGGATGCCCTGAATTATTTAACTTCCTACAATTATAGGTCCATCATGGACCCCAGCATATAGTCTGCAGTCCAACATTGACTGAATGTTCTCCAAGTGAGAGCCACCTCAGGCACATAGCCAAAGGATTTCTTCTTCAATTTTAACTACTTTTGATTGAGATTTCCTTCTCTGCCTGTTTCTCCTTACCTCTAAAAACATCACTGCTTTCTGGAATCCCCATGGCTGCCTCAGTACTATAGTGGTAGACCTATCATAGAGAGTGCAGGCCTCAAAAGTCAAAGAGATACTTGACATGAAGCCATGTGGTATCACAGAAAACTACAGGCTCACATTCAAAAGGCTGTATTCCAGCTCCAGCTTTACCAGTGCTAGCTGTGTGACCCTGGGCAAGTCTCAGTTTTCTAATCTGTAACTTGGAGATGATCATATCTACCTCATCTCATTATCTGGAAAAATTAAAGACTGCAGACAAGATACTTAACTTTGCAACCATAAACTACCAGATTAAAAGGAAGGAGTTTGGCAAATGCATTCTCCACCCCCATCACTTCAATTTCAGACTCAATACAAACAGTTGATTCCTTTAGCTCTGTCATCAGTCCAAACTTTTCTCCAGAACTCCAGTTCTGTATATTAACTGTCTGCTGGACAAGTCACTTTATGTTCCTCCACCATATCAAAGTCAACATAACCAAAACCAAATCTATCACCCTACCCATCCACTCGCAAACTACCTTCTCTCCTTATACATTTTTGTTAATGGCACCATCATCCAACCAGACACCTGTATAAAGTCTCAAAACAGCTTTAACTATAATCTTTTCCATTAAATCTCTTATCTAATTAGTTAGAAAGTGCTATAATTCTATAAACTCTTCTTCTACAACTCTTTCCCTCCCCACTGCCACCAGGTGAATGCTCACATCTTCCTAACAGTTAGCTAAACACTTTCAAGAACTCCTTCTATCATCCTATAAATTAGGGATTATCAAACTACAGCATGGATCAGAATCACTTGAAGGGATTGTTAAAACCTATACTGCTGGACCCCAGTCCCTGAGTTTCTGATTAAGGAGGTGTAGGGTAGGGCGCAATAATTTGCATTTCTAAAAAATTCCAGGTGATGTTGTTGTTGATGCTGATGTTGCTGGTCCCAGGACCATATTTCAAGAATCACTGATCTAGAAGGATTCTATATTCAGGTTGCTTTTAAATTATCTCAAGGCTCTTGGATCAACAGATTCCTGTTCAAAGAAGCAGTCTTGACCCAAAATCTTGGTGAATGAATGTATACTTGATTGCTTTACATTAAATTTTTTTAAATATGTAGATCTTATTTTTTTTTAATTAACTTTTTTTTAATTAACAGGCCAAGTATCAATCTCAATGACTTTGAATAAGCAGGTCCTGCAGTAGTTTCAGGAGTCACATAGAACTAGTTTTTAATTTCAATTCCCCCATTTACTAGCTGACGAAATTACATATTCTTTCTGGGCTTCACTTTTTTTCACCTTTGAAATGGGGAAAGCTCTCTCTTGGAAAGCATTAGAAGGATTCTAGATATATGCCTTGCATCAAGCACAGGGCTCAGCATAAATTTAATAATAAATAAGTGCCAGCCACCAGGCTAGGCGCAAGGACAAGAAGGCAGGAGGGACAGGAAAGCTGGTAATGGGGAACCCAAGGTTGAGAAGGGGAGAGTGTTGACATGTCGTGGAGTTGGCAACCAATGTTACAAAACAATATGTGTATTAATTGTTTAATGGGAATCTAGTTTGCTCTGTAAAACTTCATCTAAAGTACAATAAAAATGTTAGCTATTACTGCTATCATTATTATTAAATTTAAGACACATTTTGTCATTGGCATTTAGCCTTTTTAGGCCCCAATTTGCCCTACCAGACTTATGTCCCATTATTACCCAAACATACCCAACACTCCTAATGTTTTATTTTCCTAAAGCCTTTGATGATGCTATTTCATCTATTTAGAATGCTTTCCCATCTCCTCTCCTTCAGTAGGCTCATCTCTACAATCTAAAATGCTACCTCTTTGATAAAGCTTTTCCTAGTTTCCCAAACCTAATACTCTCTTTCTCTCCCCAAACCCAACAGTACATTGCCTCCCTAAAAATGTGCTATGAGAAGCCATATGATCTCCTCTAAACCCAGATTTTTATATCCTTGAGAACAAGATAGGCTGGCTTGTCTGTCATGAGTAATACCTTATATATCCTCCATTGCCATTAAGTCGATTCTGCTTCTTAGCATACCTAAAGGACAGAGTAGAACTGCCCCACAAGGTTTCCAAGAGCGTAAATCTTTACAGAAGCAGACTGCCATATCTTTCTTCTGCAGAGCCACTGGGTGGGTTCACACTGCCAACCTTTCAGTTAGAGCTGAGTGTTTAACCACTGTGCCACCAGGGCTCCTTCCTTATACATAGTAGACATTTTATAAATACTTGTTGGACTGAAATACAGCTTTGGGAAAAGGTTTATCTCTTCACTTCCTATGTCAGTGACTGTCAGTTTGAACTTGCTTATCCCTTCCAATTATTTGTCTTAGTGATTAGTTCTTTCTTTAATGTCTATTAAAAATTTCAGGTAGTATTATACTATAATTACCCCTCTATACTTCCCTAACCACGATACATGATCTCTTATTCTTCCTCCATTACCCTCTCTAAGGAAAAAAAAAGCTGGGGGCGGGGGGCGGGGAGGAGGAAGAAAAATAGAAACGGTAAAGCAAAAAGAATACTCCTGCCAACTACCCACCACATTTCTGGCAGTAACAGCATTATCTTTCAGGACTCCCAGACTTGACACCATGGGGTACTCTTTAACCTCTCTGTCATGGACTGAATTGTGTCTCCCAAAATATTTGTCAAGTTGGCTATGCCATGATTCCCAGTATTGTGTGATTGTCCACCATTGTGTCATCTGATGTGATTTTCCTATATGTCGTAAATCCCACCTCTATGATGTTAATGAAGTGAGATTAGTGGCAGTTATGTTAATGAGGCAGGGCTCAATACAAGATTAGATTTTGTCTAAAAGCCAATCTCTTTTGAAATATAAAAAATATAAAAGGGAGAAGTGAGAAGAGAGATGGTGGGGGCGCTGGGTAGGGTGTGATGATCTCATACTACCAAGAAAGCAGCACCCAGGAGCAGAGTGTGTCCTTTGGACCTGGGATCCCTGCACCTGAGAAGCTCCTAGACCAAGGGAAGATTGATGACAAGGACCTTCCTCCAGAGCGTACAGAGAGAGAAAGCCTTCCCTTGAAGCTGGTGCCCTGAATTCAGACTTCTAGCCCACTAAACTGTGAGAGAATAAACTTCTCTTTGTTAAAGCCATCCACTTGCAGTATTTCTGTTATAGCAGCACTAGATAACCAAGACATTCTCCATCTCATGCATTCCACATCCACCCACTCCACTTTATCCATCTAGTCACCAACACTTATTAATGTTTCCTGTATGTTTTCCATTTCTATTATTCAGTGCAAAAGTGCATCATCTCCCGCAGAGATTACTGCAGCAGCCTTCTTGCTTGCTTCTCACTTTCTCTTCCCCCTCATATTTATTCTGAACATTGTAGTCATATTGATCTTTAAAAATCACTTATCTCATTATTTCACTCGAAGTTAAAGCCATTTTAATCACATAAGTACTTCCTACTATGTCATGTTCATAATGACTAATATTTATAAAAATGTATAAAATTATAAAAATTTATAACATGCTTAATAACTTTTATTTTAGAATATCCTTAGCAGGTTTAACTTAAATCAGTTCTGCTACAATTTATGTCCATTCCTTTCAAGTCTACTTTTAGCAGACTATTCTGTGTTAACATTTTCAGACTCAATACATTCTAACTGGGCTGGAAAGGCCGAGAATATAATATTATAGGAATAATACAGCTATGACAATGATGAACAACAAATGCAATTTCTACTGATTTCTACTTTAACTGAAGTTCATTAATATTCATTGTTCTAAGGAGTGAGCCATTGGATTTATTATAAAATTTTTCGAATAGTGAAGATATAATCTGTTTATAGACTTGACAGCAGCTAACAACAGCAACATAATTGTCATATTATACTCCTAGAAATCTATGAATCAAATTTGCTTTCAGGTTTAAG